CGCTCTTCCCATACTTTTTTAGTCCCGTTGAGTCAACTGACCTATGGTCTCCAAATTCTTTTTGAAATTTTACAAGCGGGTCATTCTTTTACTTCAATCAACATAAACTTTTCATGTTTATGTTTACTCTTTGTAGCTTAAATGTAAAATGTATCTTCATGAACAATATTAATCGTTTCGTTTTTATGGGACCTTTGGTTCAGCTTTTACTTATGGGGAATCACGCATATGATGCCAGAATGGGAGTGGAAAATAAGAAAATGTGTCTGATAAAATTTACTATTGACATGGGTTTACATACTTCCAATCTTATTTCATTGAAATTTTTCATCTTTTCCACAAAATTTGTGGCTTTCCATGATTTATTTAGTGCTGTTTATAGGAATTAGTGCAGGAAGGAATGGCGTGAACGAAGCAGTTGAAATTGTCTCTTTTTCTTCTCATGTAATTTTTTTTGTGGTGCTTTGATCTTCCATTTGCATTTTTTTTTTTCGTGGCTTAGTTTGTTTCTAATATTTTGTAATTTCCCTTTTTCACTATATAATTTGTGGCAGACTGAACCAAGAGCCGTTGTGAAAGGCTAATGATGATGTTTATGTTATGGGACCAAAGGAATTTTTTGGGGAAGCGTCATGGAGATAAAATTCAGAGTTATCCAGAATGAGTGGTGAAATAGCAAATTTTTCAGAACTAATTGAAAAAAAAGGGTGGATAAAGGGAAATGGCGGTAGGCTTAAAATGATGCACAAACAAATCTCATGCTTTTCAAAAAGTGTTAATGATACTAGAGTTAACACAAACAATAATAAACAGACAAATATTATTACTAGAAAAACCAAATGACAGTGACATGCAACACATTTGAAAGGGAAAATACAACAACAAGACACCCAAAATTCGAAATAGCAACGGACACAATACAAACACTCAAACAAGGGTGAGTTTGGGGGTGGTGGTGGTGATCGGTGATGGTTTGATTTTCCGGAGAGGTAGCATTGTCTGGGGAAGGGCTGGATAGCATGGCGACAGCAAAGAAATGTCAGCAAACACGAGGGGGAGATGCTAAGCTGCAGGAACGACAAGTGCGGTTGCTGTCCTATGCGGGGACAACAAGAAAGAGGGTGTTGGACGGTAAGGAAGTGGCTAGGAGAGGTTGTTACAGCTGCGGCAGCAAGGGAGGGGAGGGTGGCAGCGAAGGTGAGGAGTTGCGGCAGTGGCAACAAGTTGGAATGAGAGAAATGGGTGGCTGGACGGCTGAACTACAGGTGAACAACAAATAGGTGTTGTTCCAAGTTGCAGTAGAGAGAGGGGGTATTGGCGGGAAAGATGAAAGACGGTTACATCTAACACACTTGAAAGGGAAAATACGATGACATGACATCCGAAAATATAAAATAGCAAGAAGTTCGATCCAAACAAGCAAATTAGGGTGAATCTTGGGGTGGTGGACATGATCGGCGAGGGTTTGGCCTCAGGAGAGGTGGCAACAAGTGGAGGAACGGCTGGAAGCCGTCGCAACAGTAAAATTGTGTAGTTAACCGCGAGGAGGAGATGCGAAGCTGTAGAAATGGCAAGTGCGGGGGCAGTAAAAAAGAGGTGTTTCAAGTCGGAGGCAGCAAAAAAGAGGGTGCTGAACAGCAAGGAAGTGGGTGGGAGAGCTGTTGTAGCTGCTGCAACAAGGGAGGGGGGCGGCGGCAGCAAAGGTTTGGAGTTGCGGCAATGGCAACTAGTTAGAATGAGAGAAACAGGTGGTTGGACGGCTCGGACTGCTCGTGAACAGCAGATAGGTGCTGTTCCGGGTGGCAGTATTAAGGGGGAATGTCGGTGGTAATGGCAGGGGATGCAATGCACTGCAGGATAGCAAGAGGACGGCTGTCAAGGGCCCAAACAGCGAGTATAGGTGGCTGTAATTGGAAAGACTGCTGTGGAAACAGAAACGACAGTTGTTCGGGGATGGCTGCAGTAGTGGAGAGTAACCAAGAGCGATGTGGGGAGATTGTGGAAAGGACTAGCGAGGATAATTATCTCCTTGGGAGAGAAACAACCAAAGCACCATCCAATTCCTTGGATACTATCCTCGAAAAGAGAAAATGAATACTTGAGGTTGTGCTTAACAAACTCATGCCAAATCTAATCCTAGACTCCTACGAAAGAAAATATATAATTATATGATAAGTAGGAGTGGCCCAGGAGGATCAACCAACTCTTTAAAGAAGTAAAACTTAGATCGGTTCGGTCCAAGCAAGATGTGGGAACCGCTTGGCTACAGATGTTTCTGCGTGTGGGGCGCCTTCTCACATCCACCATATTACGCCCACGTCAGTTGAATTCTCAAAATTTTTGTGGGAATACTCAATTGGCCTTTTAAAATAATTTTCATTTATTAGAAAAGAAATTAATCCTTGACCCCTTCCCTTTTATAGGCTAAATATATTAACAAGATAATAATATGCGTACATTATGAGATTCAAAAAGAAATGTTATGCCAACAGAAAAAGTACAAGGCAGTAAAAAACAAAATTATTTGGATTTCTTGCATGATATTTAGTAAAAGTCGAACGATGATGATAATTTTTATTAAGATTTCTGCTCATTTTGGTGTGAATAGCATGAAAATTTTATTCCACTAAAGAGTTGATACTCTTCTTAATATTGTAGTTAAAATCACAAACATTTGACAATTACTCATCATTTTGTTCACTGAAGAGAAGAGTTTTCAGCGTTTCAAGAAAATATAGAGAGTTCTCATTTTAGTAGCTGATGAATCGGTCAACACAATAGGACTATAAGTAAGAATATAAAACATTTTATCTTGAGAATGAGTAGAACCCAAATCTAGTTTTGTGAACAAACTGGAATAATATAGATGTGATCTTCCACCAGATGGTCATCATGCATGACTTAAAGGATTTTTTAGCTAAGATGAGCATGCACGACCATGGAGATCACAAATAGAGAAAACATCAATCAACAGTATTATCTTTTGAGGAAATTATGTGATACTTGAGTTAACCCAATCCACAATAGGAAAATCACTTGTTATTAATGAAAGCAAATTGGCAGACAGCCAATGTACTTGAAAAGGAAAAATACAGCACGACACTCAGAAATCTGAAATAACGATATGCACGACACAAACACTCAACTAAGGTGGATCTTGAGTGATGGTGGTGGCAATTAGGAGCTTGGAAGGTGGAGGCAAGGTTGGGAAGGTGCAGAGTTGTGGTGAAATAGCGGCAAGTCGGTGTCAGCTTAGTGTCTTGAGCTGCAGAAAGCAGGGAATTGCTGCAATCGGCAGTAATCAGCAAGAATCGGCTGTCCCAAGGGGCCAGAATGTGGGAGGGCGGCAGCATGGTGGCTTTCTGGTGGCGTTAACAAGTCTGGTGGAGGTGAAGATGGCTGGAAAGGTTCATTACTGCAGGAAAACAGGGATTCCCAGCAGTTTGGGGTGGGGACAGTTAAGGAAATAGGTGGCAAGTGATGTGGGAAGGTTGGGGAATGGTGGAAGGCAGCTGTGTTGGGCAACAACAAGCTTGGGATGGGAGGGAGGTGGCTGAAACTGGTGCAACTGTAGGAAACAATAATAAAAGCTATTGTCCTGGCTGCTGCAATAGGGAAGGGGTGGCCAGGAGGATGTGAAAGGGGGATGGGGGAAGATAGTCACCGTCTTCGGAGAGAGATATTGTTGGAGCACCATGCAATTTCTCAGATACAATCTTCAAAAGGAGAAAATGGATGTCGACGACTGTCCTGGACAAACTCACCCCAAAACTAAACCTAGAACATTAGAAATACAAATATATAATAAGAGGATAACTAGAAGTAACCCTAGAGGACTAACCAACTCCTCATAAATGAGAAATTTTGGACCGATTCAGTCCAGGCGAAAGATGGGTCACGCAAAAACGATCACGTTTGGCACTTTTTGTGTCTGCGTGGGTTTGGGCTCCCTTGCGTCTGGCATGGTGTTCCACTACTGATTGTGGGAGGAATAACTAAAGTCGGACAAAGTTCAATGCAGGAATCAGATTGAATAGAGCTGAGCTCTGTAAAAGCCTCACATCGAAGATGCATTGGAGTGAGATATTCGGAATACAACTTGCACACAAAGACAAAAGCAGTCATGCAACTTGAGGGAACAGGGATAAATTAGTGTGCAAACTAAGCCACGGCGCGCTACAAAACTCTATAGAATGTCATGTGAAGGACAAGCATGTAGCTCACTTGAAGGAGTCCATGTGATAACCAACTTGTAGTTGTGCCAGACTTGAATAAGCAAAGAGAATCATGGCCCAGTCAAACCTATGATTAGTTTTGTGCCGAGTTAGTCATGTGGCTAGGGATAGAGAGGGTTATGCAGACTTGGTTGCGTAGAAAGGGTATTGTAAAGATGATTTTGTGGGGACTAATAATTCAAGGGTCTCCTTGTATGGAAGTAAAGTTGTTGCAACAAATGGACTTGTGCTGGCATTTTCTTTAGAAA